ACATCGAAATGTTAAAAAAAAAGTTGTGTGTTGGAACCATTTCTGTTTACTGTTATAGACAACTTATATATGGCCTAAATCAAAAATAAATAGGCACGTTTACTCATGTAAGAAAAGTTGTTAGTGCTCAAATTAGGTTATTTAATATTCACCTGGTATTTTTCCATTCGATACCTTATTTATTAAGATATTTTTTTTTTGTATTGAGACTTCTTACACAATGACAACTTTTGGTTAGAATTTTAAAGCTATGAAAAACAATTTTTTTTTCAAACATGTTTGAGTTGGATTACTAGTCGAGCAATAAACTATTCAAATAATGTTATCTTACAATTTGTCGTAAACATTAAATATATTTAACATGACTACATAGACGACAACAGTATAAATCTCAATTTCTTATTGCTATAAGGCTTCAGATGACACATTAGCACAAAACAAATAAGACTTACATCACCCAAAATCCTAAAATTTAATTTTAGGAGGTAATAATACCTATAAGAGAAACTGGAACTGTTCTTCTACTGATATTAATGGCTCTCTTATATCGAATTATACCATGATTCATAACTTTATTAACGTAATTCGTCATGAATTCAGCATGGATCTGATTTTACCATTACAAAATTCTCAGATAGGGTGAAATGCTCAGTCAACGACGAAACTAGGGTAACTGACTACTATACTGTGTCCAAAAAATTCGTTCCAATAAAAGACAGACATGACATGAATATTGCGTTTGTGGACGTTTCGTAGTGGAACCTTATTTAATGGATCACAAGCGTTTACGTGATGATTTAATGTCATGTTTTTGATCTTTTTCATCGTTATTATCCTCTACGTATTTCTTCATAACTATGTAAGGACTCTATGTTTGACGACTTTATTGACTTTTTATCAGATAATGATAAATCTGATGATAAATTAAGGTAGTGGTTGGCCCAAAACCCACGGATATTAATGGATTTTACGATAACAACGATTCAACATGTGCATTTTCACCACACAATGCTCCTCGGGAAGGGGATAGGGTGACGTTTTCACAGCAATATTGCCTATCACTTAGATCCTTCGCTTTCGAGGTGGTCTATGTGAGATTATAACCGCACCAACGAATGGAAAAACTGTATCTAATAATGTAAAATGTGTAACTAATAATGTAATATGTAAACAATATTGTGTAAAATGGGCCTTACTAAAACACGGCTATATGTACTCGTTTACAATAAAGCCTAATAATAAATACATTACGTTAGTATATATTTATTGAAAAAAAAAAAATAATAATAATAAAAAAATATACTTAAAACATGGAAAAATGTATTAAAATTGAAAAATTTTCTAAACTGGACCATTCACAATAAAATATCAGTTTTTGAAAAAAAATTATTCTATGATTGTTGTATGTGTAAAATTTCGAAAAATTTCGTCATCTCTTTATTTCATCAACTACTTTCTAACAAACAAAAAAACGACAATACAACATTTTTGTGAAAAAGCTATTTGAAACCACATAGATAAGGATTCCACTAAACGTTTGTATTTACCGACAAATGCAATTAATTTTCTGATTCCAGAATAGCTTGAGTTAGACTTTACATAAAATATAAAATTTAAAATGCACACTTAGGCAGTAAGTAACAATCGTGCGAAACATGTTTCATCGACAATGAACTATTTATATCATTATACTGAATACAAATATAGAACAATCAGGTCAACAGATTTACTGTTTTTTATAACTAGTATTGAATATTGAATAGCAACGTAAGAAGGCATTTAATTTATAAACTTTACATTTTTAATGGTACTTTATGCAAAATTATAACTAAAATAACTTTTAATTGTAACATAAGAAGATTCTCATATCAAATGGCTAACTACAAATGCAATGCAGGTATAATCAAAAAACATTGCTTGCAACCCTTAAAGTATGATGTACCAAAACATCGTTGAATGTGTCAATAAAACACGCTCATGAAGAAATAGACCTGCTAAAATTGATAAATGCTATTAATATCGTAAGGGTTATTTTGGTCTACAAGCTCATATTGTCCCTGATGGACACTTGAGGATGTTGAATATTGATTGTGGGGTTGGAAAAAAATAATTAAACGATATAGTTTTTGAGTAAAGTTTCAGTTAGTGAGTGTATCGGAAGGCTCTTCGTTCTTTGGTCATTAATCGGTATGATATTATTTCATGAAGTACTGCTTATGCCAGACATTGGTGTCAAAAGATGATTATTTTTTCTCACCCCAAAACAGCTTCCGTTTCATATTCCCCCTATCAGCTGTCGGAGGGATGAGATCGCTTACACGATACAAGTGACTGTGCGTTTGGGTCCAATAACTTCGACCGCTACGAGCGAATGAACCTTAGGATTATATGTTTTGAAGTGGACCAATCATCATGAGACTCCCTTTATCATATACTGTTATCAACGCACCTAATTACTAATTCAAGTGAGTGAAGCCAATAGATAAAGAGGGAACATATTCTAAGGAATTAGGCATTCTCTCAGCAGACTCGTACAGCCTCGGAAGAAAATAAGGAAACAAATTTATGAAAAACATAACAAACCGCATGGGCTACAATTCACCTTCTGCTCGATAGGGTGTGTGGTATACAGCAAGACGTGACTCCGCGCTATAGCAGTAGTGGTGGCCTCGTGCGAAGGTACTAAAGTTATGAATGTAAATAACGACAGAACTCTCGCCCGACACTTTCGCCGAGTTTCTCGTATTCCCTCTAGCGCAGGTACGGAAAAGAGGAGAAACGGAACGAGGATGGAGGGGGGGGTATGAAAAAGCTCCCGAGCCTCCCGGCCTCTGCTTTTCTTTTGAGCATCGCTTTCCAATATACAAGGCAAGACAGGATGTAATATAAGGTCACGTGTGCACGTTGCGGTTTTTTTCCTTTGCATTTGCTGTTCCACTGTCTGACTCGTGCAGGAATCTACAACTTTTTGAGCGCCTACTAAAGGCGCGAGGAAAGGGTGGGGAGTGGGAGGTTGAAACGTTCCAACGTTCCACGGAGTCACGCGCGCCAGAACTCCCCCCCCCAGCTCCAAAGCCTTGTGTTGCGCTTGAAAGTTGAGAGGCGCTCAGGCGACGCTGTATGTATGATTTATAACGCGAAAAATGGCTTTCTTAAAGCTGACCATTCGATTCTAGCTATCTCTCCTTTTTATTTCTGAAAGCTTATGTATACCATTAACGTACGGTGGAGAGTTATATTTTCTCGCTTGGGTCTCAAACGCATTGTAATTATATTAATAGTTACAATCGGCCATCACATTATACATAATTAATGATACAGGATAGCTCTCGTTCATCGATAATTAATCATCCTAGGCATCATCGAAAATTCAAAGTAAATCAGACTTTTCAAATTACTACGTTACGCATAATATGTAAATTATCTCACTTGCGTCAATTATTCAATGGAGTTTGATGATCCAAAATTACGGCGAGTACGTATATCCAATTCGATTGAATATTTAAGCTGATAAACAACAACAACTTCACTGTAAATAATGTGCACGTACTAATGGTGGAATAGGAAATCAAATCGTTAGGTGAAAACGTTAGCTCGTTACGCAGACAATTGTACAATACATGACGTGTTCCACGTTCCATCAGCCATCGATCAACTACAACCAGCAGCTAAATAGAAAGAGAATTAATCATCTGGGAATGATGACGGCGACAAAAAAACAAAAAAACTAAAAAACCAAATGTGGATCCATCCCATGGAAGCTTTTCCCCACAATCACCATCTTTGTTTACGGAGAAAGCGAAGGTACGCCCACGTAGCTGGAGAGAAGGGTACCCCGGGACCACAAGCTTCGTACATGGAAAATAAAGGCAACCGACATATCCGTTCGGCTTCTGTTTGCCAATATACGTATACACGCCCAGCCACGAGCGCCCACTCCACCGGATACATTGGTTTACGCGAGAGTTTGTTGACGCGGCTGTTGTTCCACCGGTGTCAAAACACACCAGCTGGGACCATAATTCAACCCCTTCTTCCTCCCTATCCCCTTGGCTCTGGGTTAATTTCTCCAACGGCACGCATCGGCTGTTTGTTCTATGAAACTGGTGGTAGTGTGTGCACGAAGGGTGAGTTTCGGCGACCCATCGGACTCACGTTGCATGAACGAGAGAGGGTTACCGGCTATGGTTCGACCAAATACAGCTGACCTATATATCCGAGCGGACGTCAAAGAAGGGTAAGTGGGATGGTGCACTTAATGGGCTCTAATCGGGTGAGGAACAGAGATTTTACTGCTACTCGCTAACATTTTCGAGCTCTCGTCGTGACGAGAGTATGGTAACTTATACGCAAACGTGGGACTTTTGGATGTGACGCTATATAGGATGGAGGATGAAAATGGATGGTTTTTTCCCGATTATTTATGGACACAAATGTTTGTCATTATAACAGTAAGTGTTTGTTTAGTTGCGACTAGTAACATAATTTTAGTAGCTCCATTAAGAGCTAGTTGACCTGATTTTAAATACTTCAGAAAACTAGTAACTTACATGGTTTTTCCGGTACTAGCATTAAAACTTTGTCTGCTAATAGTGCTAGCCTGAAATTGAAAGTTCTTGAGATTATGATAATCAAGCGCTAAAAAAAAAGCGTATCAGCTAAAAAAGGAACTTGTCTTTGTGCACTTTTTTTCCGATGTCATAGTTGTATAAGTCGACCATAAAAAAGTTCTACTAAGTTACAAGCTTTTCACTGCTTTGTAATTTTAATTGACAAAGTTTCGCACTCCAGCGATTTTCACTATAAAAATAAGCGCAACATTTCTATAAATTGAAATATAAAATATAGATAGCGCGATTTAGATGAAGGAGGTGAATATGTAACAACTTGACTGATAACATATAATACTTACCCATCGATTAATAACATAAATATCTATGATATCGGCATTCGACCTAAGACACGCCTAACCAGAGTAGTGAAGAAGGGTGTCCACCAAGGCTTTGGTGGCGAAGTTGGTTAACGTGCCTTCCCAGCAAGAAGGGGGCCCAGGTTCGAGTCATAGCCGAAGCGGAATACCTTTTTTCACTGCTTTGTAAACTTTGTAATTTTAATTGACAAAGTTTTTTCATACTCCAGCGGTACATGAAATCACAGAGACACTTGCCCGAAGAAGTCGCACTGGTCAGGAATCGAACCACGGTCTCCTGCGTGCCGACCCACGACCTAGCCGACCGAGCCATCGCGCGCTCTCTACTAAATATACTTGATGAATTGATTAAGAAGTAGTTCGAGTTTCTTGTATATTGATTAAGCATTACAATCAAGATGTAGTAATTACTTTTTTGACAATTTTTTGCCATATTGGGATTACAGAATGAAGAAATGTATGCAAGAAGGATTTTATCTAAAAGACTTAGCTCATTTAACCGTTTTTAATAATACAGATAGCTTGAGTTAACGAGACTGGCTCAAGCTATTACCCTCACGACTAAGCGTAGAATAAACCTGATTCAATGCGGTTGTTACAGAAAGAGGAATAAGGATATAATAAATAATCTTCTTCAAACAAACAGCAGAAACGGTAAGGATCATAAGAAGCAGGTACGATCTTACGTCGATGGAACGCAATGCATCTTGCTTGTTGAAAAAATAATGCCAGACCGTGCCAGAAATCGTGGAAAAGTCGTGTACATACGCATACGAGGTATCTACGCCCATCCATAAGCGCGTATCTCTCAATAAGTACATACAGTGTGAAGGGCCGGGGGAAGAGGAAGGGAATGGGAACGGCACGCGTCATACATATGAAATAGCGAGGCGCGGGAATCTCTTCCCATTTCGCGCCTCTCGACGACCCCCCGGAGAGTATGTGTAACATGCCAAGCATACACACGCACTTGCTCGTATGTTTATTGAGAGTGCTCTATGACCTTTCTTCCGGATTTGGCGAGCGTTCAATTATCGATTTGTATTTTTTTTTTTTACGATTGTCATTTTTTTAGCTAATCTTGGGATTATTGTTGTCATGTTTTTATTTGTATGTTAGCTCGATTGACTATGGTTTTTTCATCATTCAAAGAGTAGCTGATTCAAAAGTGACAACAAAAACAATGGGTGTTATTGCGTGATAGACGGATTTTGTAGTGCGATTGGTGTCAATGAGATATCCGAGCTTCAAAGGTCGAGCTTTTTGTAGATCTAGAAAGATTAAACACTCGTTAGACTCTAACTGTTTGATTGCAGGATACCAAAAATAAGGGTATGTTCAATAGTAATATTTTTTGTTTGAAATTTTTGCCTTAATCTTAAGGGTGCAATCATATTGACTAAGAGCACATCTCAGGTGGTGCCAGCAATGCTGGAGTTCAGTATAAAACTTTTTAGCATGAAAGCATTGGATCTATTTTTATTAAGTACAATTCTGTTATCATGAGGCAGTTTATGGAGCTGGTACTTATTACAAAATATTAGAATAGTATGGATCGAAAAAAATTATTCAAGAGAAAACGAATCTGCAGAAGAACAAGAAAACAAGGGTCATGGGGTTCTTCAGGTAAACAGCACGTGTTGGATATACCTACATATATGACATATCTGATGAACTGAATAACCTTGCCTGGCTGATATGGAATTAATTTCTACTATATAAAAAAAATTTTAAAAAAAATTCTCGTAGTTAATAAGATTCTGAAAGGTTGGGTTTGGTCTTTTGTGAGTAATGAAAATTGAAGAAATTGGCAACGATCACAGCATAATTTGAGACGATTATTGAAACATACATCCAATTTATCATAAAAAATTGTTTTATCATTGAACTATCATTGGAAACACATTTGGGTGAAAAATCATTTGTATAGAAATAAAGGTAAGTTTAGCAGTAATCTCATCAGGAACCATTTGTATCAACTTTTTTTTCCATTCTGTGAGTAACATGTGTTTTTCTAATGTAGTAGTACTTAAATAACAGAATATTGTTCCATTACAAATTGAGTGGGTACGTTGGTCAGGTGGAATTGAATCGCCCACTAGAGACCAAATCTCAAGTTGCAGAACTCCATGTAACCGTACTATAATCTTTGTATTAACAACTTAAAAAGCACGGGAACATATCCCAATCGTAATTAATATTATTTGTAACGAATAGAACTTCCAGTGTCCAAGACCAGGACTAGTTTTTGAGTTGTCAAGAGAAAATAAAGTTCATACAATATTGCGCTCAACTAATGGACCATCACCATCCCCAATGTACATACAACATTTTCCGTTAGAAGCCCAACCAAGCTTACCAAAGTGTAGCACCTTATTCGCTTTGAGCGCAATTTCAAAATCGCGCTCCCACTGGGCACTTTGAGAACGATTGGTCGTGATTAGAAAAGGACAGTACTATGAATTGATTTCCATATGCTTGTAGAGAAGCGACATTTAAGGTTTGGCCACCTGGTGAATGGAGCCAGAAGCTTGATTTCATAATAATTATCTGTTCTAATCACGACCAATCGTTCTCAAAGTGCACAGTGGGGGCGCGATTTCAGAATTGCGCTTAAAGCGAATAGTCATACGTCTCTAGTACACACCAACTGTGCGAAAGCTCACTCTCACAAAAGATGCGGCGTACGATACACACCTATAACTCTCCATCTCTTGCGACCTCTCTTGGTGGACCCCCTGAAGGTAAACTGTCCTTGTCATTGAGGATGTGCATACACGGGGTGTGCTAATATACTTTCCCTGATCCGAGTCCGAGATATCCGGTTTATTGTTGACAGCTAAGGCCTCTGAGTCTCTTGCCGCACATGAGGATGATTAAAAATATTGAAAGTGGATTGATTTTTTTTTTTTTTTTTTTTTTTTTTTTATAGTTAAGATTCTGAATAACATGGATATTAACAATGTTGGTGGTAACGTCCATAGATTATGAGATTGTGTGAGTAAATATGTGGGTTAATAAAGTTGCTGTTGTTTAATAGCTTTTTTTACGTAATTATCATGAATATGGTTTAAACATATTAAAGTCAAAATAAAATATTTTGTTGTTTTAAAGCTTGAACTGAAAAAAAAAAACAACTAAACATACATGATTATTATTTAGAATCAATTGTGCCTACCAATTGGCCATCGTTTTTAAAAAAAGCTCAGCTCAGGATAATGTTACAATACTTGCATTAAGCAAAGTCAATAGCGTCTGGCTCAAGTTTGAGCTTGAGCAGCGTAGAATTGAAAATGTCGTTAGATCAATAGTTACGTATAACTAGAGTTCAGTTATAGATTTCTGAAAAATAATCGCACAATTCTGCAAAATTATCACATTTGAAGAAAAAACTTCAATTTCCCTCCGTTGCTGACAACCAAATTAACTTTTTAAGGTGGTTTGGAAGTACCATTCAAAGAGGCATGGAACGGGGAGTCCCCCCTGCCTGCGCAGATTTACCACCTTAATCGTGGACCTCCTCTTGCACTCCACAAACTTGAAACTGTACGACTGTAATGATTATATTTTAAAAAAATGTCTGGCGAGTAGTGACTTTTTTTTGTCGTGCATCTTCCTTTTGTACTAAGTTATCTATGAAAACGTTTTTGTCTATTCCAACACATTTACAACGTACCTTAATTTTAATTAAAAGTTAACCTAACCTTGTTCTTTCATAAGAGATCGTGTTAAACTGTCAATATTTAATAATTATTTTCTCGAAAATTTCCCTAGTGAAAAATCTGAAAAAATTTATGTGCACTCCACCTGATATGCTTAAGTATAATATGTATTTTTTTTTTGCACGATTCTACATTTTGTACTTTTAGTAAAGAAGTGTACGGTGAAAACTTTGGTTTCTTATTTCATGGTCACGGACTAAAAAAATTTTTGATTACGAAATACAGAACGAAAAACGAGTAACATGAAAATTGTTAAAATAAATACAAAACACTTCAAATGATGTTCTTGTACTTGCATGAATATTGCCTCAATCGCTTGACACTCACCCTGATGATCATTTACAAAGCGTAACGCATTAATTCATACTCGAAAGACATATTACAAATTCCCCGGCACGCAATACCTCATTTGCATTTGAAATTGTTCAACTGGTGTTAAATTAAATCGAGTCCAATATTTGTACTCCATCGTACATCCATAATCATATCTCCGATGTATCACTACAATCCAATTATGACACGTCATTTACATAAACGATCGAGCAGCCCCGACAATCACGATTTACATTTTAATACCTAACCCACAAAGAACCACCAAACATTTGCCCTTTTTTAAAACGAAAAATCACTGCCAAAGCATTTTAACTGTAGTCTTTTTGTGATTTATCTCTTGGATACTCCAAATTTATTCATCATCGAGATATTACGTTAGTTTTCCTCAATTCCATTTAACAAATTACGAACCATTGGTTTTCACTCACATCGGTTGCGTAACCATGCCTCATTAAATTTATCACAGAGCCGTGTCCTTTTCATTTACAAGCCGTGCACGGGTATCCTATCTTTAAAGATCAAGAGCTTTCAACTTCCATTAGCTCGTCCAAGAGATACTAGTGCTTCTCATTTACGTATTGCTGGGATGCACTGTTGGACCAATCAGCATCAGTTACATATTTTTATTGTGCATGGTTTCACCATATATATATATATATCCAGAATAAGCGTACATACCCTGTAGCTACCTGTTATTGTTCCCTTGCCTTTATTGAAGGTCCAAGGCTTCGTATTATTGTCATCTAATCAAAGATCAGCTGTACGGTTTTGGCCTTCGATTAATAATGACGACTTTGACCCCTGCGTATTAATTGGATTAGATTTTCCCAACAAAGAACTTTATTGGTGGAAAACTGAACTTATCTGTTGAAGATGGCCGATGGTATCGAGTATGTGCACCAACTAATAGTATTAAAAAAAAAAAAATAATAACACCAACTAATAATGATTATAATAACCGTAAAATTAATTACTTCTCATTATTTTGTGTTTCTAACGAATATAAAATATAAGAAAGAAATGACAGGACGTGTAAAGTAAAAAAAAAGTCAATAAAAATAACGTTGAGGTTAATAGAGTTCGAGGTT